ATATATATATATATATATGTGTGTGTGTGTGTTCATTCATTACCCCCAGGTTTGGTGGTATTGTTTTGGGTGTGTTTTCTGTTGGCTTGTGTGTTTGTATATATATATATATATATATGATCCTTGTATTCCCCATGTAGTCCCTTTCCTGAGGTGGCTGAGGCTGTTCAGAGGGAGTTAGAAGAATACAGGTCACAAGAGGATGAGGTCAAGCGACTGAAAAGTGTCATGGTGGGAATCAAGTTACATACATGTGCTATTTTACCTGACATAATGTGGCGTAATCATGATAGGGCATGTATATGAAATACCTAGACCAAAACACCACTTAGTGATGTGGTGAAGACATACATGTACTTTGTTTTCGTTCCATTTTGTTTCTTTTTCTCCTGCCATTTTAAATAGATTCAATTTCTTCATTTTTTAGTCACATGAACTTTGGCATGAAGGTAGAGTGAGCAATTACCCCCAGGCTTTTTTGGCTACATTTAGCAGAGCATAATTTATGTAATGTTACATAGTGAGAAATGTAATTGAATTGTGTTTTTTTCAGGGTCTTGAGGGAGAAGATGAAGGAGCTATCAGCATGTTGTCAGACAATACTGCAAAGCTTACATCTGCTGTAAGGTAAAGTTGTTTTTCCTTTGTGCATCCAATGTGCATCCTTTATATTCAAAGAGATCTGTACTGTAGTGCCCCTAGGATTTATGTTAAAACTGCATGAGGTGTTTTTATGGCTTCGTGGTGTGGTGAAACATATAGTTTTCTCTCGTTATGGTTTCGTGGTGTGGTGAAACATATTGTGTTCTCTCATGTTCTTCTCCTTTTCCTGCCATTTTTCAGCCAAATGACCTGAAATTTGGTATAGAGGTAGAGTGGGCAAATGCAATATGTACATTGTACCCCTGGACGTGTTTTTTTTTCATATAACAGATACATGTATTCAGTGTATTCTTACACACTTGTGGTGTCCCCTGTTCAATCTATGATAGAGTTGTTTTTGCCCCATCTATAGCTCTCTACCAGAGTTATTGGAGAAGAAGAGGTTGATTGACATGCACACAAACATAGCCTCAGCACTGCTGGATCACATTAAGGTACAATTAATCATAACATTTCATTACCCAGGTATCCAAACTAGAAGCCAAGCTAGTATTTAGTCATTATGTAATGACTTGTAGAGTTGGTATGACCCTCCAAAGTACTTGTCAAAAAGCCATTCTAATTACATGATTGTACATGTGGTCTTAAAACAATATCAAATGTGCAAAGTGCTTTATGACCATATATAGCCAAGTAACGGACATCATCATTGCTTTCTTCACTTCCAAATCACACGTACAAACACCTAAACTAATGGCTTTTGGGGTGAGTCATGAATACAAGCTTTATCATATGCCCAGTTCATTCTATGATGTTCCAGTTTTTTGCTGCATCAAAAAATTGCATTTTTCTCAGACATCTTATCAAAGTCCATAAAACTCCCTATGACAAAAAAAGTGTCATTTTTGGTAATCATAAATTGAGATGTTTTCCTAAACTATAAGGTAGGCGTGCCTGAAAAATCTATTTTTTGACCCTACAATGTACATTTCAATGAAAACCAGCCTTCATACATGTAGTGTTGCACAGCTTACATGTTGCATGTGTTTGTCTTTTACTAAAATTTAAAAATGTGGCTGTACTGAATGTTTTATTTTGGTGTATATGTTACAGTTTCTGGTAAAATTCCTTTGCAGGTGCGTAAACTGGACGTGTATTTTGAGATGGAGGAAAAAATGATGAGCAAGCAGTCACTGGACAAATCCCTGATGGACATGTTCTCTGATCCTGAAGGTTTGTTTGTTTTTTAATACATGTATAATACTGTTTGACCCTGGAGATCAGAGTATCCCTGATAGTAAAGGGTGCCACTAACTCATCTGTACGTGAGCTGGCCATGTACATGTAGATAGAGAGTGGGGAGGACAATGCCCAACAGTGGTGGAACTCACACACTGATGCCCAACTGTGCTTTGTACCATGTACTGCCCGCCAGCCGATGATGACACGTTCTTTCAGAAATTCGATGAATGCATGGACAAAATTGCTGATGAAGGTGAGGAAGTTATTATACTTATAAGTAGGGGCAATCTCAACTGTAACTGGCTGGTTTCTGATAAGTCAGGGCCAATAGGAAAGTTAAGATTCTCCTCACTCACTCACTCACTCACTCACTCACTCACTCACTCACTCAATCAATCAATCAATCAATCAATCAATCAATCAATCAATCAATCAATCACTCAGTGTTCATGATACAGGGCTGGAAATACTGGGTGCATGTGCACCTTAGTGCACCCAACTTTGGAGCTGTGCATCCAATTTTCTTCTGTGGGTGCACCCAAATATTTTTATGGGATTACGTATGTAAAGACGCATGTATAGTAGTATAAAGCATATTCTTAAATTCTAAGTGTCAGAAAAATACTAAAATTATTGCAGTAGTACTTTTTTAGAAATGAAACATAATTAGTTTTTGCTAACATTCTACTTATTTTATTTTATTTTATTTTATATGGTGCACCCAAAAAAATTTCTGTGCCCCTAATGTTTTGGATTGGGTCCACCAGTGCACCTATTCCCCAAAATGAATTTTGAGCCCTGTGATATGACTATAGAAACAAAAGTCCCAGACCTCAGCCCAAAACCACAAACTAGCTAAGGGTATTCTGAAGTTCACCTCCACACATCTCCCAATGACAACATCAGCTGGTGCCCATACACACAAACACAACACTCCACTCAGCACACAGGGGACGACTGTTGACGGTATTATTGTTCAGGTGATGTTGCATTTTGGTGTCATAAAGTCTTCAAGTCACGAGTCTTGTTTTCCCCCTTTATCTAGCTGGTAGTCCTGAGGACAAGATGAGGCTGTTTATCATCTATTTCATCTGCAGTGCCCAGACCATGTCTGATGTAAGATTCTTTTCTGTCAATACAAGCATTTTTGAGACTTGACTTTTGAGACTTTCATTTGGCATTTCCTACTTTATTTACATGTATATCAGGCAGGCTCCTGTAGTTCCTACATGTAATAAAGCAAAAATCATCACATTGGTAGAACATAGGATCTAAAGATTTTCTTTTACATCCTACATTGTAAAAGTCCCTAATGAAGTTTTCACAAAAATTTACTACCTGATTTTTTGTCAGTTTCCATCAGGCTTCCTTGTATTAGCCACAGCCACACCCTCACCGCCATTGTGGTCACTTTTTTTGTCAGTCCCTTGAATTTTTCTCATTGACCTTATAAGCATTAAAGACACCCATTGGCAAGTGAATTCAGGGCAATAAAACTGGATTTCAAAGTCAATTTTCTGATCATTCTGTAAGTGGAATAAACCCTATTGTATTATATATTGCATACTGATATCTGTGTGGCAAAAATTGGATGTCTCTGAATGTAGGCTGGTTCTAACTACTAGTATTCATGGGTGGTACCAAAAAATGAAGGGACTCCTCACGTAGCTTGTTTTACTTTATGTCTAAAAGTATGAAATGTGCTGAGAAATAGCAGTAAGTGTTAATAGACTGATTTCCTCATTCAGAATAATTCCTTTATTGCCATCCTAAATGCATCGGATGCCAAGCATTGTAGATAGCAACAGATCACTGCCCGTCTATTATACCTGTAATTTTGTGCATTTTCCATTTCCAGGCTGAAATTGACCAGTATGCTGTAGCTCTCCAAGCTGCAAACTGTGATCTGGCACCACTACATTACATTAAAAGATGGAAGTGAGTACAGCTGCTTTTCATATTTTTCTTGAGCCAAATCAATGTTTGTTTCGTGTACCAAAAATAAACAAACTCCTGGTGTTCCTTATTTTATGGCTATTTAAAAGGCATGTAAATCAGCTCTGCTGCAACCTTATTCTGTTGAAGAGGTTCATCAGTCACGTACATGTAGCATTATCAATTAGTAGACTCCTCAATCAGTGACTCTTTTGAAAGGTACAAACATGTACGTGTTTCTACCTTTCAAAAGAGTCACTGATTGAGGAATATACTACTAATTGAACCTTATTCTGGTTTTCTTAAGAGCTTTGAAAAATTCCAAGATATTTTTTTTTTAAATTTACTTGCAGTTTTTATTTTATTTTTTTGCCCATCAAACATGATGGATTGGGCAAACTTTTGATCTCATGGGCATCAAAATTCTGATAAATGACGGAGTGACAGATGCTGGCTGGAACACTGATACTCGTCCAGACAGAGCATGTTGACAGCACATGGGTGGGGGGAAGATTGACAGTCTGTGAGCCATGCAGTAGGAATTAGAGGTCAACATGAGGGGATTCTGGAAGCCAAGGATTGCATGAACAACCCTCCAATCCTGCACAGTTTCTGTCCTAGTCCAGATTAAAATGTGTCATACAATCTCATTGGTTGTTTCAATACATTCATAGAAATGGAAAATAGTTGCCAGAAGCTGATCTCAGTTTTCTTGTTTGTTTCTCCAGGGCTTTTACCAAGATGACAGCAGCACCCAGTCAGTATGGTGGAGGAGGGACCAAAACAATAAGGTATGCAGCTGTACACATGAAATGTGCACAAGATAATGTTCTGTCTTTGTGTCTGTAAAGTTTATAATTATAGTATCATGTGTTTAGATGTAAATATATATCTAGTTGCAGGCATAGGTAATTTAATAAAACATACAGTGTACAGGTAAAACATAAATAAAGATATTGTATGTTCTCTAAAGGAGGGTCTTTCCTACCAAGAACTTAACAGGGGACTTAACAGTGGATTAGTGGAGGTACCATTTGTGTCGTGTGCCTCCACCAGTAACTGAGTACTGCTGTTACACTAAGCTATGCTTAAGGATTCCAAGACTGGATTATGACTGTGAAAATGTTTGTGAGTTTTAACTAATATCATGTGCAGGGGCGTACAGGGCAAAAACTTGTACAGCAACAGCAAACTTCTGACATGGCAGGGTCATCATTACTATGATGTCTTTTCTTGCAGCATGTTCTCTCGACTGATGAACACAGGATCAGAATTTGTTATGGAGGGTGTCAAAAATCTGGTGGTGAAGAAACATGTGAGTTCAACTTTTTTCTGGCACGTCCATTTTTTTACTCAGTCAATGGCATTCTTGAGACAGTGGTGGGTGTGTCATACAAATTGATATTGTATTGAGATTGAAAAGGTTGTCATAGATCTACTTCATCTGCAACCGGTCCTTTTATAGCCTAGCTTAAAGTCCAACACAAAAATTGTAAAGTGAATGTGACCAGGCCTTTCCTCACCTTTTGTCTTTGTCCACAGAATCTTCCAGTGACCCGAGTTGCTGATGCTCTGATCGACAACAAGTCCTATCAGGTCAAAATGGCTTCAAGTTTCCTATTATTACAGCAATTATTGCAGCAATGTAAATCATCTTAGGCTAACAATAGTTACCTCTGGGTACAGAAATATTGTTTTGTGTGGCTGAGCTGCGGGTTTGTGTGTCTATGTGTCTGTCTGTACAGCACATGGGTGGGGGAAAGATCAAGCAGAATGACACGTCAAAAAGTCATTTTGTTCAATTTTAGGAATGCCTCCAAAATGTTATTTTAATTTGTTACAACAGACAAAGTGAATAATTATGATTTTGATACATTTTATGTTCTTGTGCACAGGACACAGAGGACTACAGATACTTTGACCCCAAAATGCTCAGAGTTACAGACAGGTTGGTATCCCACTCTTAATAAATGATTGCAGAGTTGCAAAGTATCATGATTGCAGAGTTGCAATATTGATGGAAAAAATTAACCTAAAAAAAGAAGAGGAAAAGGGATTCAGGAAAATGAACTACAGTCAAACTTGTCCAGGGGACCAAGGAAAAGTGGCCACCTTGGACAGCAGGTGGTCTCCTTGAAGAGGGTCGCCTCACAACGTGACTGAGGCATAGATGGTTTCCATTTCTAGATGTTTTAATGTCAAATGCTGTAAGCATCTTCAGTTCTGTGGTGAATGTATGTGGGGATTTATCATCATCCAGCAGTCGAGGTAAACTTGCCAGTTTCTCCATGATTTCTCATTAGTTATCATCAATAATCAACATGATTGAAAAAGATGTGGTCACCATGGGCAGGTATCAGGCCTTCGTGGTTTACTTACGGAGGGTTAGACTGCTTTGTGTGATTTTCAGATTGAACATGATCAGTTATTGAAGTCCTGGTACCACACTATTTTCAGAAAGGGTGTTGCATTATATACTTCCTAGAGGTTTGGAATCTCATATTTCATGTTTTACATGTACTACATGTATGTATTTTTATTGTATTACAGCTCAATACCTCGTAACAGGAATCCAGTGCAGGAGGTAAAACCGCTTTTGTTAGGTCAGAATAGGGACTTGTTCTAAAAAACAATTTAGATTGGGTGTTTTTTCCCCAGCTTCTATAATTTGCAATCATTTTATGGAAACTTGTTGTTAATTGCGGACAAAAATCATGGTCATTCCATCTTAAGAGACAAAATTAGTGTATAGACATCTAGAAATGAATTATACTTGACATTGTAGACATATATTTAAGCTTTATTTCACTACTGTACAGTATGGTTGTTGATACAGTATATACATGTACAAAAAGCGCATCTTCTGGTGCCTATCTAACATTAACCCTACTATGAGACTATCTAGTACATAATATTAGCTTTGGTTACGAAGGACTATGTAGTAAGGGATGAGAATATGCTTGGTGGAATTTCTATATACATGTATTATATATATATATACAAACTAAGCAAAGCAAATTAGTCCTCTACGTAACGATAGATGGAACAGCTGGAAGGACAAATTTCTTTAAATAGCCAAAAACACTATAAAAACGCTCTTCACACCTACATTTAATCAACAAACCGCTTCTAACTTCTAGTCCTTCCATCTATTCCGACTTTACTGTAAGTATAGAAATATTATTATATCTGCTTGACCTCTGGCCTCCAAACTTGTACATGTAGACTTGTACATGTACATGTATTATGCACTTACATGTAGCCATGATGGATAAAATAGAAGAACTTTATTGCATAGCAATTGTACATGGTACAATGTATGGCAATGACTAAAATGTATTGCAGCTTTCACCCAGTTTACAAGTAAGTGTGACTTTTCTTTACAGGCCATAGTGTTTATAGTTGGAAGTGGGAACTACATTGAGTACCAAAACTTAGTGGACTATGTCAAGGTAAGTTCTTAGCTTGACTTTAAGTTCATCTTTGTTGGTAGTTACATGTCAAAAGCTATGCAAAGAAATTCAATGGTTCTCACCTAGGCTAGAGCTTTTTACAAGTCACTTCCTTATGACTATATCATATATATGAGCTTACTCCTTAAAACAAGAATGGAAAAGATGAAGTAGGAGGGCAGCATTTGCACCAGTGGTATGTTCAAACTATCTTGCGGGCTAACAAATAATAAAACAAAAACAAGAAGCCATAGGCGACAATCCTCCGTGAAGTTTTATATATTTCAACAAAATCCCAAGCGTCAACGCCAGACCTACTGTGCAGACATTATAATTAGGCAACGGTTAATACAATGAGGGCGCGTCACAAGCATAAAACATACAAAGAGCTAAATCCATTACTGCTCCCAGGGCGTGTAAAGATACTGTGCTTCAAGTTCAAAGTTCATTTTAATTACACACACACACAATCATTGCATTCACATAAAGATCGGACTATCATGGTCGTGTCTAGTAACAAAGACAGCCCCACCGTCTTACCGTGCCTGTACCTAATTAAGCGCGCCTGGAACAGGCCAAATTCCAGCAATAGTTGCGGTAAGCACCGCGAGTGTTACTACAACATGTACCACCGGCCAGATAACCAGGATATCTGCTTAGAGTACCTCTGCTACCAGACAACTGCCTAAACCTACGGCCTATTCCACAGGATTGTAAAAGTAGGGATGTTTCTAAAATATGCATTTACTTCAATATCAAAACAGCTACGGTAAAAATAAAAAGACGTGCATCATCCCGGACATAATGCCACACCACATGCGAAATTACACAGAAATGCGACGTACGGAAGAATGCGTTTTGGCTGCGAACATCTTCCAAAAAACTTGGCATCTCTTAAGCATGGGCAAAAACATCTGGAACCACTTATCAAAACCACCCCGTATCTGCATGAAGTTCCACCCCCCCCCACACTGCTATTCCAAACAACGCGTTTTTCTGGACCATTCCAATTTGCCTCGTAATTGTAGGGGTGCGTCTGCAATATTACATTGACCGCGAAAGCAGCAACGGCAAAAATACACATTCGTGCATCAACACGGGCATGCCCGCAGACGGCGTATAAAATTGTGTGCCGATTACACAAAGAGAACCCAGTGTTTTGACTGCGAACATGAAAAATCAGCCGATCACAACACTCCGTCCGGAGGTCCTGACCTCCTTCACGGAGTAATAAGAAAGTTGATGATGTGACTGTTCAGGGCCTTCCCTGCTGAGGATTGGGCAGATCCAAGGAAAGATAGCCTAGTAACTATACACATCTAGAACTCTATGGTATCTCTGTATATGTGATGCTGTGAGTGCAAGGACATTCTGAATGTCCTTGGTGAGTGTTACATGTACAGCTCACTGAGAAATTATTTTGGGGTTGGTTTCAATTAGTTCTCTCCAAAACATCAATAATCAGAAAAACCAGCTGGTATGCCAGAAAGAAAGGTGCATGCTCAGAGACTAAAACTCCTAACCTACCAGGCTAAGAAATTATTCTATATAGTAGTATACTAACCAACATGCCATGATGATTTTGCAGGGCAAATCTGGTGGCTCTATCAAGAGAATCACATATGGTTGTTCAGAGTTGTCCAATGCCATGTTGTTCCTTAAACAGGTAAGTCACTGCATGTAAACTGGTAAGCAAGCATGCGTAAACGTAATGTCAATGTGACGCTTACATTATATTCTCCCTTTCTGCAACTTTCCTACATGTACCCCTAAATATGTAAAGATTGCCTTAGCGTGACTTTCTGTCAATGAGGATAGGTGTGTTTCCACAACTATTAGATGCTTAAAGGTGTCGTTAAGAACAGAATTTCCATATCCCACCAGGAAAGTATGCATTTCATACTTTCATACCAGACTTTTATTTAGCAATTTCAACCGTTTTTTTCAACCGGTTTTCCAGTTTTTATTTAGCCAAGTGTGGACACAAATCAACCGGTTTATTTTTTTAGAGTTTTAAATCCGATTTTCAAAAACCATCTCGCGAGGTAAGGGTTTTTGAGGGCTTTCTGCTGAAAAACCTGGTCTGAACACTAAGGGTTTATTCAACCGGTTTTTACATCATAATTCCAGGTTGACAAGGTCAGCAGCTGGGCCGTGTGCGACCTCCAAGCTTTTTGGTTGCGTTGTTCTGAGTTCATCTCCACAGTTTTTCCATTGTTTTTCTAATTTTGCGATGGAATCAGCATGCGCAACCTGGTAGGTGGAGGAGACCAAGCTGCTGATATCTGCTTTTGGAGAGCAGGAGTTGCCAAAAAAGCTCCCTCGCCATTATACTGATTCAGCTCCCTCATAGTAAATTTTTCTAGAATAACCCCTGTATATATATATATAATATACATGTAGGCTTTCCCCTCAGACTCATGTTGATCTCCCAGCTCACAAATCTTGTTTTCTTAAATCTAAGAACCAAAGAATTAGATTGGTGTGACCTTATAATTACCGGTAACAAACTACCAGTACTACATGTACCACCCCACTCATGTTTGTGTTTTAATTCCAGCTGGCCAAGCTAGGATCTGAGCTACATTAGCAGTGTGGTCTACAGAGTACAAAACCAAGGCTCTAGAATCTTATTCTACAAATGAGACAAACATCAGACAACATGACAAAACAAGTCCTGTATACACACTCAAGTCATCCCTACAGGCACAGATGGATGTACAATTTTACCTGTGCCTGAAGTTTGGTCAGTTATCTGAAAGTTATAACATTAAGTTAAATGTAGGCAACTGTCTTTTTCTGCAGCCGACCAATGATGATGTTTGTCTTTGTATGAGGCTTTACATTTTGATCTTCAAAACAAATTTAAAGTATTTAAAGATTTTCCTGAGTTTCAAACTTTAATTTCATCTTTCATAGCAAATCACATTATCTTTAGTGAAAAAATGTTGTCCACAAGTATTCTGTTCTGTTCAGCTACAGTTACAGGTCTAGAATTGTGACAGTACCTAAATAATTAAAAATACACAGCCTAAGTTTACAACCAAGTGACTGTGAGATAAGAATTGTCTGCCATACTAGAGGGCTGGAGCTGCCAGCTAAATTTGAATTTGTTAATACCAGACATGTACTTAAATTGAGAAAATTACCATATACAAAATGCACATGTACATGCAGACTGTTCAACCAAGTAGCATGGCATCTGTGACATCACACATCACATAAACCCTGTTCAGACGAAACCGGGGGAATCACAATTTGGGTAAATCCAATACTTCACATCTGGCCCAGGTTCACACATTCCTTCGAAATCGTGTTCAAGCATGATTTGGCTAAACTACAATCATTGCTGTTTGATGAAAATAAGTTTTAGACCCTGCTTGCTGCCCCCCCCCCCCCAAGCAAACCTTGGCCGATTGCCGATGTGGTCCCGCCAGACACAGTGAAGCTCGCCCTAAATAGGCACATTATTCGGTCAGTACTGCTCTTTTAGTTGCTGCCGCATACCTTTTAGTATTACATATAATTTAAAAATATAAGTAAATATCGTCCCGTAGTCCATGACAATATGTAAAGTAAACAGGTAAAGTACATAGTCACATTGCATTCAGACTGAAGTCAGAATGCATTGAAGCCAGTTGGAAACTACCTCCTGAGGTGGTTTGGGATTGAGGCACTTTCGATGCAATATGGAGCGTTCAGAAGGGGCCACTTGAATCCACCTTCTGTGGAATGCACATCCAATGCACTTTTACGGCTTTCATCTGAACAGGGCCATAAAAATGCCCTAGTCTTTATTTATCATATTAGTACATTCTAAACATTTTTGTTTAAAATGCTAGTACTGCCTTGCATCATCACACCTGTACATGTACATGTACATACAAGTCTCTTCACTTATACACATTTGTACACAATTGATTTGGTCAGCATTGTTGAAAGCATTGTAGGAAGACACCATGGGTATTACAAGAATGTGCACAATCTGAAATACAGACTGCGAGACTTATTAAGGATTTTGCAGACTTACCCCATTAATTACTGTATATGTGTACATGTACAACCAAATGTCATGGTAAACCGGACAATACTTGTCTGGTGTAGGACTTCCACTTGACCTGATTGTTGTTCAGTCATATTATAATCAATTACTATTGTCATGCTGACTACAGGTTGATAAATTGTAGAGCTGGATACAGAAGCAGGAAGGAAAATGTTTTGTTGTACCAAGGATGTTAAAATCAACAAGATGATTAGTTTAATAAAAGATTTCACTCCAATAATAAAAACTTGAAAATTGGAAATGATTGCTTCACATGTGTCTGTGGTTCTTTTTCTGGGTTTCCAATTGTAGGTCTTATTATACTTCAATGTAGTTCATAATACTTCAGTAAGTTTTATTTCATGTTTTGTGGTGATCTCTCCACCACAAAATCTAGGCACTGCAAATATGCATTTCCATAATGATTGTATTACTAAGTAGTAATTTACTACAGAATTGTTTCAACTGCAGACTTGCAATGTGAAAACCTCATTTTCCCTTCCATCTGCAAACTCACATCAGGTGTAGATATTTTGTTTTATATTATTAATGTGGGAAGAAATATACTTGTACATGAATATGAAAAAATTAATATACTTGTATATGAATATGCATATTTTTTTGTTTAGATTAGGCCACACCGATTTGATTTTATGGATGACATCCTCTGAAGACCCCCAAATTAGTGCGCGCGGGCGAATAAAAAAAAATTCCGGCCAAAAATAAAAACTACTAAACCACAGGAATACAAAGCTGGTATTGTGGATTTGCTACAGTACTTCGTGACATATACAACAAGCCGGCACATGCTGGCTTATTGCGGCATTTATGAATCGGTAGTGTACTTATGTACTGAGTTCTTGAATCGTGGAGCTTCGAATTCGATAGCCTGGGTGCTCGGCTCCGTTTTGTCACTGACTATCATGGACTACCCAGGCCTAGAGCCAGGCCAGAGCCTCGGTGGAAGTGATCTATTTTTTTTTTTTTGAGGGCGACAGGCGAGAATCAATGCACGCGCGGATGTCATCCATAAAATTAAGTCGGTGTGGCCATATCTGTATAACAGCAACCAAGAGCGATATTTTTTCACATTTTCAATGTAAATTGTTCTTGTTTGCTACATTCATTTATTATGAGGCTTTTTGTTTGTGATAGGAGGCTTTTTGTTTGTAATAGTCACACAAATGACTTGCATGTAAAATGAAAATAACCGTAACAATTCCATTGTACAGGCACTAATATTTCACCATTTCTACAATTGCATTCAAGGAAGTATGTGCCATATGAAAAACTAGAGTTCCACAATGTCATACCTTCGTCAAATGTTTTAACTTTGTGACTAAGAATAGATTAATCCCCCTGATTAAGCAAATAGGATCCTCAATTGCATGAATTATATCTGTTGATCATATTCTCCACCAAAAGACAAGTCTTATCTTAACAAAAATGCCATTCTAGCATTTCCTCATAAATTATGCAAATTAGGTCCTTATTTGAATAAGTTATGTTTAATGATGTTCACCTTCACTTAACTTTCAAATACCTAAGTATGAAATTCCAGGCAGTTACGAGTATACCATTTCTGAATTACAAGTTTCTCATTAATCATGCAAATTAATTCTTAATTTACATTATCAATATATATCTATGTTTCTCTTGTTCTCAATTACATATATTATGCCACAAGCTTGAATAGTTCTATCCTGTAATGCAACTGATTTATAGAATTTCTTCATATGTTATGCAAATTTCATCCAAACTTGCATAATCGTCACATAATTATATCAAGCATCAGTATCATGAAGAACCGATTTTTGGGTTATCCTCTTTTGCATAATATGAAACAAATGGACCTGCAGTTCAAGAACAAGCCGCTAGGGGGCCCAAACTTGTCCCTTCTTTCCCAGCACAAGAGCTACCTACCTACCTAAATTTCATGACCCAAGCATGTCTAGGTCATGAGAAATCAGCTGCAGTACCATAGGAAGCCGCTAGGGGGTCCAAAATCTAATTATTTCCAGTTCTCAGCAAGACCTACCAAATACATGTATCAAGCCAATATAATTAAGCCCTCTTAAGTTATCGTGTTTACAGACACACACACACACACAAACGGCTTACAAAAACATAACCTTCTTGGCAAAGGTAATAAGCAATTTTTGAAATAAGCTATTTGGTACGATCTGACCAAAAATATGAAATCAACAATTGAGCAGTATATCAAGACCAATATGTTTTGCTGAAAGTTCAGTTCAGTTCATCCTAATCAGGTGAAAACTAGATAATAATTTGAAAAATCGTCTTTCCTAGAGTGCTGTTAACAATATGTATTACACGTCATCAAAAATGCATTTTTGGCAACACCACAGGGGCGGAGTCGTTGGTATAGTACTGCGATTCAGTTGAAAATATTCTAAGAATTCCACGAAGGCATTCCCTAGGGAATTAAATTTTGTCAACAAAATAACTCTAGAACGGCTGGATGGATTGGTCTCATAGTTGGTGGGTTGGTAGGGTGTGACTAAATCTAGAACTGCTGGTCTTGATATCTCGCGATCTGGACATGCTAGGATCATGAAATTTAGATGCTAAGTAGCTATTGAGCTTGGAAAGAAGCCACGCAACTTAAGGCCCCCTAGCAGCTTGTTATGGAACTGCAGGATGATTTCTTTAAAAGATATTCAAGAGAGGATAACTGAAAAACCGGTTGACGGATTGTCGTGATTTTTGGTATGTAGGGACCTTAAGTGATGCTTGATGTAATTGAATTACAAGTATGCAAATCAGGATCTAATTTGCATTCGAGAAATTCTATAAATCTGCTGTGTTAGGGCTATAAAACACACGAGTCTTGATTTGAATAGGTTATGCTTAATGGTCACCTTCACTTAACTTCCAAATGCCGCAAGTAAAAAAAGTCTAATGAATTGTAGTATTTTTCTGATTATTTATGCTTTGCAAATTAGGTCTTTTAAGACACCAAAAATTTTGAACCTAGCATGTTTAGCTCATGAAATATCAAAACCGCTTACCTACATAATATAGTACATTGTACCTTCACCATCTGGGGGCAAGCAAAGGTCAACTGTTGACTTACTTTCACACCTGTGTTTACACAAGCAGCGGTGGGATGGGGGGGGGGTTGACACAGGTACTGCTGGTGGGGCCCAATGAATCACCCAATGTAACGCTATTATGAATAACCCTTTTTACAGGTTATGTTTTCAGTAGCGTTTGTCCGTCTGTCTGTGAACAGCATAGCTCAAGAAGATTTATATGCTATGTCATAAAGCCTCCTTCGCAGACTTGTTGGGCGTGAGCGTTATTTATGGTTCTGTGAGCGACGAAAGTAATATGCCGCGGAGGAACGATTTTGCTGCCGAGGGAGTTTTGCCACGGAGAGGTTTCCCGCTCCAACAACCTTCTCTCCGTGGCAAAACTCCCTCGGCGGCGAAATCGTCCCTCCGCGGCATTTTACTCGCGTCGCTCACAGAACAAAAATAACGCTGACGCCCAACGAGTCTGCGAAGGAGGCTAATAAAACTTGGTAGGAGGGTAGGTCTTGATGAGACCTAGAAATGATTAGATTTTGGGCCCCCTGGCGGCTTTTGTTGGTACTGCAGCAGAATTTCCGGTTTTGATATCTCATGTTTTGGATATGCTAGGGTCACAGTTTGGGTGGTAGATAGCTCATGTGCTAGGGAAGAAGTTACTTGAGTTTGGGCCCCCTAGCGGCTTGTTCTGGAACTGCAGGAGCATTAGTTAAAAAATTCGAAAGCGGATAACTAAAGAAACGGATTGTCCTGATTTTTGGTATGTAGTTAGCTGAAGTGATGCTTGACATAATTAGATGACAAGTATGCAAATCAGGAGCTAATTTGCGTAACTAATGAGGAAATTAAAAAAATCTGCTTCGTTTGATGATAAGACTATGCAACACGTGACATGTAATTGAGAACGAGAAAACATCTGAGGATATAGACTATGTAAATAAAGAATTAATTTGCATAATTAATGGGAAATTGTTATGATTTCATAGTTGTAACTGCTGGGCATTTCATACTTTTGCCACATTTGGAAGTGAATGTGAACATCGATAAACATGATTTATTCAAATCATGACCGAATTTGCATAATTTATGAGGAAGTACTAGAATAGCCTTTTCTGGTTAAGATATGGCTGTCATTAGATGAAGAATATGATCAACTGATATAATCCATGCAAATGAGGCTCTTATTTGTTAAATCAATCATTAAGATTGTATAATTCGTTAAACCAGAAGGGTTAACATCATTTGGCGAAGGTATGAGATCGTGGAACTTGTTATTTCTGTTTCATAACAATTTCATTCATCTCTATATGTTAATCATAACCTAAGACCTAAGGTATCTAAGAAGACAATGAAAATTCATCGATCCAAGCTTGAAAAGCTAATAAATGTGATAAAAATGCCCACTATACAGTTTCAAACAAGCTGCTAAGAGGCCCCAAATCACACCACTAAGTTGTCTTACTCCCAGTCCCAACAGATTTCAAATTCTAAAAAAAACATTAACATTTGCAGAAAATTTTACCCCAAAGTTTGAAGCTCTGCTGTAGTACTGTACATACCTGCTAGGAGGCCCATTATCAAATTTAACTTTCATTTTTGCTGCCTCTAACCATCCACTGGATATTACATGTATAAATAACTATCTGCAGCTTCTCGAGCTGTTGTACACAAACAAAAATATAACAAAACAACTCTCTGTAGCAACGTAACTCAACTAAGATCTAACATTTAACAAGTAATTTATTTACTATAAGTGTTAAACTGTGTGGCTGACTCTTAGCCTCAAGGAAAATACAATATTCCTAAAGAGAAAAAACAGACTTAAACCATCTCTCAACTGAGATGGGGCAGAGACTGACAAATTTAATTGTAATCTTGTGACATTCATGTAGACTTCAGGTCAGTCAGGATTTCAACTTGAAAAGGATCAGAGGCTTGTTGGTAAGCACTTTGCTTTGGGTATACAATTAATTTTCAAAACCTTTACAAATTATACAAATCACCATCTGAGACAAAATTTCATTCAACTATAAACTTATTTCGCACATATCTACATGTATGTGGTCCTATCCTTGACGCAGGCTTAGACCCAAGTCTAACCACTTAAGCTTTTTCATGCAAGGTCACTTGCACCAAGCAGGTTAGAAAAGGGAGCCTGTGCCATATTGGATTACTAGTAGCAGCCTTCTCAAAACAAGGCGGCAACAGTCAAAAATCATCGCCTACTCCAAATTTTTGCGCCGCCTACTTTCGTGTAAATTTATGAAAAACATCGTAGTCTCCATTACAAACCCCTTCATGGCTCGCCTGCTACTTTTTTGTTTCAGCCACCTACTCTAAATTTTTGTGAGAGGGCTGTAGTAGATCTAGAGTGTACAGTTGCTGCAACTGTAATCCATTTTAACTGCCAACATGGTCATGGATATTCAAGTGCAGTTGTAACAATGGGGACCTTTTAGCGGAGTGGTTAGAGCGTCTGACTGGTGCCCGGGAGGTTGAGGGTTCGAACCCCGGCCCGGGACCAGGGGTTTTATCTGTTTCTACTGGCTCCTCCTGTTTCTTACACAGTGTACAGTAGAGAAGATCAATAGCCAGGTAGGAAGACTCTTCTATGTTGGGGCCGGTCATCCAATTACTGAACTGTCATTCCCGGCTTGTGTGGACAATTCAAAGCCTTGTAAGTTGTAGCTGTATACTATTTGTTGCATTGATTCCAAAGAAAAACCTCTATATACAGACTGCATAAACCCAAAAGTAGCGTTCTCCCAGGTACATAATTCAGTCACGTTGTCTGCAGACTCCACCATCCACTCAAGTGTCTATGGCTGTGTGCATTTCACTTGTTTTTCACTGTTAAATACTAGTACAAATGTACTAGTACATGTATTCTATGCACAGACTGCACAGTTATAAGCTTCAATCAATCAATCAATGCCTTTCTTTACTTATTTTATCAAGTATGTTCTTTCGCGTGCAAATTCCAAACTTTTTTGACAGAACAAGGGTGAAACTCAAGAATGATTCATTTGCCAGGGTTGTGTTGACTTTAGCTGCCAGATGACATACAACTGTGTCGCCTACGTGTCGTCACAAAACACCCTTGTTCTCGGGTTTTTTCCGCCTCTTTTCTGGAGGTTGCGTTGATAGAAATTCATCTGATTTGCTTGAAACGTGTTTGCAACCAGATAACTTCTGGTTTATACCACTCATGGCCTCGTCGTCATCGGAATTTTCGTCGTTGTCCTCTTCTTCGTCATAATCACTTTCTTCTCCGTTGGTGGTATTTTTTTGTAGGTTTGATGATTGTTGACTTCTTTCTCCTTCCACCATTTGATTCAGAACGTCTTGGGAGGCACTCCTCACCGCTTTCAGCGACTCTCTCACGTCTTTAAGCCTGGGTACGGCGCCTCCTTCCGACACCCTTTCCCGAAACTCTTGCTTAACTCCATTCCTGAGAGTCAGCGTGGCCGTAACGTTGGTCGCAGACTGGGAAGAATCGGCAAATCTGGCAGAAACAGAAGCTTGATCGGCGGCCATTTTCCTCACTCACGAGATGACCTCTATCCCGTGATGCATCGGAAAATGAAAGCATCTTAATGTACAAAAGAATAAAGCCCAAATCTTTAATATTATCATGGAGGTAGAAAAAAGGAAAGGAGAGACGACGCAATTAACAACCCGCTGTGCCCCTTTGTTTCCCCCCGCCGCGATCTATTGTCCGCGCGCCCGGCGGGCCCGGCTTTGATCTATAAGTTCATAGCGTGTTTTCGCGGGGTTTTCTATGGAAATGAGCTGCAGCATGACGTCACAAGCACCGAGCTCGGGCCGAGCAGGGCTGAAATGGCTTCGGTTTCCGACGATTCCCATATTTGGAACGCCCGGTAGANGAGTACCAGTATATGTAGATACATGGAGCAGGTGTGACGTCGTCCTATATACATGTACATTTACGTTATATCAAAGACGCCACAACATCTCAATAAGGCACTTCGAGAGGTAAAAGGGAGGAGAATTTTGTGCAGAAAACGGAGAAGGGAGGAGAGGTGCTTTGCACGTGTATTAGAACGCTCCTTCAACACTGTTTTATTTCGTGACGCAGGGGATTACGTTTTAGGATTAGGGTTTCTGAACCAGGTTCAAATCCAAGCTTGTGCTCTGTCTTTTTTCACCTCGCTGTCATACATTTGCAGTTCAAATGTTGCTTTTGATGCGTTTTAAAAGTTTTTGCACCTCAAAAAAGTTATGATACGCTCGTATATGGTTTCGACCGGTATACCATTCAACGATATGGCATTGACCTTTCAAATGACAAAATGTAAAGATATGCCCATGCATGTCATTTACTGAATTAAAGATCTCCTGTTAGGAGGTTGACCCCAAACATCATAAATGGATTGTACGCCACGGGTAGTCTGAAGCCCACTGCCTCTGGACACAATGACAGCAGAGGACAGGCAGTTATTTTCTTATCAACTAACGTCTGTAGTTTTGAATCTGTAGTATTTAGCTCCACTAGTTCCCAATAAAACATTGACATACAACAAAAATGACCCAGGTAGTTGCAGCAAACCTAAACACCATCCATGTCACAAAGATTCAAATTTGGACTATTTCAGCGGAGGCCATCCTCTGTCAAGCTTCGAAAGTTTGTTTCAAAAAATCATATCTTTTTTTCAAGATTCAAGATATCTTTATTGAGCTATCGCAGTGAGAATATCACTGAATTGCAGTCAATTTACAGACAATTTGTTTTAAAAACGCTCACAAAGACATATAATATTGCACATAATTCTGAATCCTTTGGTTAAGAATACTTGTTTGCAGGGAACTATATTACTGCTCGTAAGACTAAGATCTTTTAGTTACAGCATAAAAACGTTTAAAAAATGTACACGCAATATTTGGAGTTATTCAGTTTCACATGGTGAACATCTTATTCAGAAATTGCAAGCATATTGTACAGAGCTGAACTAGATTTCTATTGACAGTTGTGTGTCTAGTAATTTACATGTAGAACACTGTTGGTGACTTGTTACAATATTAGAAACCAGCTCTGCAGCTGAACCAGCCAAAGTCCCATTTTACCAGGATTGGCATAAAGTACATAAGTTCTTCAACGAACGAACGTGATACCCAGCGTAACACACGTTTGCCATGGTCCTTTAAAGATTAATCAGAATATGATATCTAGCACATCATATTAGCATTACCAAGATGAACGCTACGTTACGCCAAACTAAACTTTTTGTGTGTGTTTGGTTCATATCAATGTTTCTCTACAGTAGTATGTAATACAACTCATCATCCCGAGCTTGAGATTATGTCAAAACACGACAGAACATTCTACATTCATTAACTTAAACAAATCTGAGTGTAACTGTAATAGGGTGCTCTAGCCTTGTAGGATATATTTTATTATTGATTGTAAGAGTTACAGTGTATTTCCTTGGACATCCTGAGACATTCCCTGGACAGTCACTTTCTCCTCCCGTATACTGGGAAACAGTGGGCGAGCTTTGAATGACACTTCCTAATGACTATCTTCCCAGGGGTCTAGGGCAGCACACGTCCAGATCGCCTGGCCCTAGCCTTATTTGGGCATGTCCAGGGACTGGTCAGAAAGGGAAAGGATGTGACTCAGGATGATTGTGATACAAAGAATATAACTTTTTCCAAGAAACCTGTGTGTAGGTGGTGAAGAATATAAAAGCCCCTGCACTCATGTAGTTAAGTTAGTTCCCGTTTGAGAGAGAAGAGAATACAGACCACTTTCTACGTAGCTGTCGGCTCCTGTGTCTTTCTTTCGGGTCGTACATCTACAACATCGGCGGCTTATCTTACGAACTTTGTAAGGGCACCCATCGAGGCTTAGCTACCGTCGTCGTCCTTGACCTTGGCACCCTTACATAACGTTGTAATGACTATTACAAAGCACAGACCAAACGTTCTGTTATAATGACTATTTCAAATCACAGACCAAACGTTCTGTTATAATGACTATTACAAAGCACTGAGACCAAACGTTCTGTTATAATGACTATTTCAAATCACAGACCAAACGTTCTGTTATAATGACTATTACAAAGCACAGACCAAACGTTCTGTTATAATGACTATTACAAAGCACAGACCAAACGTTCTGTTATAATGACTATTACAAATCACAGACCAAACGTTCTGTTATAATGACTATTACAAAGCACAGACCAAACGTTCTGTTATAATGACTATTACAAAGCACAGACCAAAAGTTCTGTTATAATGACTATTACAAAGCACAGACCAATCGTTATAATTTCAAAGCACAGACCGAAGTGCATTTGGGACATAATCTGAGAAATAATAATTTGAATTGAAGCTGTAGTTTCCTCAACATGTTAGATCGTTGACCTGGCGGTACAACATTGCCCCGCTGGTAAGCAAACAGCTAAACAGTTACAAAGCAACATAACAATGTTTTAGCACTACTTGTAGACGATATCCATCTCAAGTCAACAACGTCGTATGTTCTTGTAAAGCATATACGTCGTACCTGCGCGTTAATTAAACAACCTGTCTACCAGGAAGTCTTTACCTGATTCTTGTAATGCCAAACGAAAAGCCCCAAAGGCGCGGTCTCCTCTTGACTGTAGAATTGTTAGTAATTTCCTGATTTTGTCACGTGTTGTCCTAGCTGTGTTGATCTCGTCAACTATTGCATCGTTGAAAACCCCGCGTTCGATAAGGTAATTAATAATGCTATAACTTTCACCTTCGCTCAGTTCGTTGATGAGCACACAACAACGCGATGTCAGTTGTTCGCGATGCTCCTTTGTCATAGTTCCCTCAGATGGTAGGCCTACAGGAACAAAATTGTTTCATTTATTCATGTAGAGTCTTATATGTAGATTTCGTAGGTTTGCTTTGCAAATAATCTTTGCGTCGACTAATAAATCGATGACGGCAAGAAGAATGAGTTTGTTCAAAGTCCACGTGTCAGTCCAGGACGTGGTTTACCAAGGCACATTACGAGTAAGAAAAAAAAACTCATTCATACCTTCCAACATGTCTGCCAAGAAGTCCTGCTCATTTTCTCTAGATCTCAGAGATTTACACAAACTAAAGAAGGCTTTGTCATCCTTGGTGTGCAGAACTCTAATCAGGTCTTTCGCCCGGTCCAGCCTTGTTCCTCTCCCTGCCCTTTCTATGCTCTCTACCTCGTCCCAGTCCAGAACACCATCTTGGACAAGCTGCGGGAAGAGGAATGTTGGGTAGATGTCCTGTAGGAGCGTTGGACAGCATTCCACGAGACTGTCGCGGTTCTCCTTGGACATTCTCGGCCTTGGTGATGTACCTGTTTTAAAATGAAGAAGAAATCTGAGATGTCAACATTTGTTTAAGTGTTGTGGGCTTACGTGAAGGTAGTGGAACTGTGGGGGATTGTATGATGTAATGTAATCGTGTGTTACACCACTTCCTAACTATCCTCCACACACCGCCTATCCTCCACGTACGCGTACTGGGTCAGTGACCTTCAGGCTTGACCTCCCTATCATTCAACTGCCAAAACCACCTCCCACCATCCATGCAATCGTCGCTACTTGGATAGGACTCACAAGTCAGTCACCCAAAACAATACTTTATTTCCCGGAAGTAATACTGTAACAGCTTTAGTAACGGATACTAGTACTGTTTTCATCAACAATCAACATTTTGAGATAAAAACATAAATCAGTGACAGCCTCTACGTACCTGCTTTGTCTATTTCTAGGTCCGTGGCTGAGCAAACTCCAAGTCGGCAAAGGTTTCTGATTTGGTTCTTCAATGCTGTGTTCTCTTCTTGAAGATGTGCTATCAGTACTGTTGGTGGTTTATTTGCTGGAATGCCATGCGACGGTCGTTGGCGCAGCGACACCAGCCCCTCCATGTCTTGGCTCGGGTTTGTCGCAACACATTCAACGGCTGGTCTTGCATGGCCTTTAGTGGTGTCAGTTTTAGTCATTTGGTTCAGTTTCTTGAACAGTTTTCCTGCCCAAACACCTGATAGTGACTTCTGGATAGCGAATTCGGGTTCTTCCCCTTCTAGCCCTTGCAAGGTAGGTCCTCCGTCGCTGCCGCTACAGGTGCCATAAAACACGGTGCTCTGTAGCACTGACCTGAAGCGACCTAGAATATGAAATATTGTTTTTTATTATTATTAGATAGATATTCATATCGAGCATAACACATGTTTTTCAGTTCCTTCTCGCATGAAAGCGTCATCAGTGACCACTTCCACTTCAGCAGTTCAGTTTCAGTTCAGCTCATCCTTCTAGGAGGCAAACCCTGCATCAATTCAGCCCAGCTGCGATTGCACGGGTAATGTTTGACCATATAAACCAATTCTACATTCAACCTAGATGCACATAGAGCATTGTTGACCGAGCTGTCGTCAACTGGTATATAGTCACACAGTCACTGAACCTGAACTATCCAACTTGAATTGTTTTCATGACAAACTGTTGGCTATAGGCAGAATAATCCGTGACCTCTGCTTACGCTAAACGAGCATCAACCTTATAATATTTAAAATGAGAAAAGAATATGCTAAGACCAACTTAACAAGGAAAGGAAGGTAATCAGATACCGTAAACATACCTGCAGCATACCACTGCCCGTGGCGAACTCTTCCCCAAAGATCTTGCCAAACCACACCCTGCCTTTCTCGTAGGATCACACAATGGCGGTATCCTGTGCAGTCCATGATCTGTAGTTGAATACATGATGAAGTTTTGGCCGAGGGAAAAAAACTTTCAAAAGAATTCAGGCAATATGTCATTTTACATTAAACATTTTACAAACTGCATTATGTGATATTAGGATGATACAAAAAGTCAATTTTCTGGACATTTCCATTCAACCCTACTCCATAAGATATTATACGTAAGTGTCATTTAGAAATTGGATATGTAACACCAACTGAGTGTGTTTAAAAGCTGGAAACACAGCTGTCAACCATGTTTGTTAACATTCTGTTATTTTATGGTGGTGTCACAAAATATTAAGGGTGCCTCATGTAGGCTGTTTTATTGCTATATATATAACTACACATGTCAAAATTGTAAGGTAATTTCTGAAATATGCTGAAAATGGAAGTCAATGTCAATTACATGAAGATTTTTTTCGATTAAGATGTATCAACTTCTGGTGATAAATTGTTATCTAAACTTAAACGACAGATGATACCTTATGTGAGAGAAGTTGATATAAAACTTACTCTTTCCTTGAGCGCTATTCCGTCTAGTGGCACAAGCTCTTTGCAAGGTGTTGCCCACGTGTTACCTTGTTTAAGCAAAATTCAAGGATACATATATATTAAGTTAATGTGACGAATGCATTTTTATTTCCATACAAAACAGTACTAACACGTGTACACCGATTGATGTAATACTAGTAGTGAAATAGTGAAAACTCAATATTACCATCACCTTGTCATAAACATTTTGTTTCTGCAGCAATAATATTGATCAAAAAACGTTTTTCTCACCTGACTTTCTACGATCATCATTTCTGTGTCTCATAGTTGCCTGTCCATTGCGTTGGCGAGGACTGTTTCCAGTCATTACCAGCACTTCGGATGGTTCCAGTGATACCCTGCCTTCAATCGTGTGCACCTGGCCATGTTCCTCGTCGCCTTGCCCAGCCTGGTCCTGTCTTCCTGCTCTTGGACGTATTTCGGCATTGTTTGCTTGAGGTTTTTCTCTGCGTACTTTCACAATCGATTTCAGAATCAATTGAATGACATATATTGCCAGGGATGCAATAGTGATGATCATCACTACCTCTGGTTTGACAAGGAAACAAATGGTGTAAAGAAAACCAAACCAAACCGTGTTGTTACAGAATACGCAAGATATATCTAAACACTTCAAGATTTTACAAGAAAAACTGCCGTTTTCAGATCTCGCGGCGTTTTTGCGGACTTGCGGTACCTCCACGTGATGTTGACTGTGCACGCTAATCGGTGTTGGATCTTCACCTGGAAAAAGAAAAGGTCAAGTATTTCTTGCCAATTAAAATTCTGAGCTAGAGTTAAATCCGGCTTTATAAGACAGTATACCGTTAACATTTTAGCATAGTGGAACTTTAATGTTCGCGAACGTATCATTACCGTTAACAAATACTTCCTCGTTTTTTCTTTAACTGTCAACACCGTGAACATATATAGTTCCGTGAACATGTCCATTTTTCTCAGACCGCGAATGTCTGCTACCGCGAACATAAAAGTGAATTGCTGCAACCGCCCTTATACCAGGCGCGGCCGCAGATGATTATATCAGGAACTAAATTGTCACAAACTACATGTAGTATGTATAGAGACTGGCAGATTAAAAAGAATTCCTTAGGATTTGTCCATTTTGGCCAGACGAATGTCACTTTTTGACTGTATGTAAACTTTTTGATTGTATGCAATTTACTATACACAAATCTATCATCTTCTGTATCAGGATTTATCTCAATGGACTTGAATAGTAAATTTAGGTACATACAAGAAATGACATGTGAAAACCCAACATGACATACATAGTAAATGTATTTTAGAATGTCTAAAATTCCTCCATTGGTTATAAAAGTCCATCTCCGTTCCATTCTATACACTCGTGTATCAGGTAAGTTAGCCTTATGGAACTGTAGTTATGTTAAAACCAGAAGTTGCCATAATTTGTAACTTGTACAATTGTTGTGCAATCAAGTTAATTATTGCACGATCTGTCACAGCTAACCTTCGCACTGCATGCATAATGTCACCAGCTATCTACACGCGGTGCAAATGAAAATTTGCTTACCCAGTTTTCTCCTCAGATTGTTTGCTGCAGACTGCAGGTTTGCCGCGATAAGGGCCTGTACCAAACCCTCCGCAGTCGCCTGGTCTCCATTCAATCTCTTCCAGGTCTGTAACATGTCCATACAGCACGACTTGTCATCGCGGTTTCTACTGGCGATGTTTCTGGTATCTCCGATATCAAGATGGAACGCCAAATCCTTCCAGTCTGAGCTGACGTCCTCTTTTACACCAAAGAAATACCTTGACACATCTGCAATGTAATTTGTAAGAGTGACGAGGTATAAAGTCAGTGGAAATGATGAGGTCTAAAGTCAGATAAGTAAAGATTATTATGATTCTTGTAGTGACTTCAGACAAGGTAAATCAATGTAAAATTGTTTGAATTTATGTCAACTATATCAGTGACTGTACACGACGTAACCAATCTTCTTTTTGTGATACAGTAAAAATCACCTTATTTGCAAAGTAGCCACTTGAACACGCCACATTTAACTTCTTTGGCGAAGACGCCATACATGAACTTTAATTTACAGCACATGGTTCAAGTCGTTCTATTAAATACATGTATATGGTTTTTATTGTCCAAACATTACCCGTGCAGTCGCAGCTGAATTGATACAGGGTATCACATACAGTAATCAATACAAATCACAACAATCAAATAACACACATGATACACACATCTGTGCGGCAAGGGTCTCTCCGCTTCATAGTCAAACGCTCTACCACTACGCCACCCGACACCACACGTCGTTTGACGTTTATATCCACCAGGTAAAAGTTTCTCAATATTGAGCAATGTCTTACCTGCATCCATATTGATTTTTGGCGGCTTTCACAGTTTGCTAGTTAACGTCGGTTGATACCTGCAACGAACAACAAGCATTTGCTAGTCATCTACAATATGTGACAATGCACTTGGACACTTTAGCACCTAATAGCCTGTTGTATTTTTGGGGGGAGGGGGATGTCAGATTTCCCAGTAGTGTAGTGTAGTCGTCGAGTTTGCACAATGATTGTTTTGTCAGTTGTACATTTAATTTGATTGCTTATGTAGGGTGCAAAATTAAGTCAGATTCTTTGAGTTCACTTTTGGTCCCTCACTGCTCACACGAACGTGAGCTGCCAGTTTAGTGCGTTAAGCCTTGATATGTGATAATGCGGGACAAAATGTTCAGATTCTCAAAACAGAACCACAAAACTTTCCTGTGGTGACGTAACTCATGAATGACAACTATCAGATCCGAGAACGCCTGGAAAGCCCCACGACGCCTGGAAAGCCCCACGACGCCTGGAAAGTCCCATGACGTTAGTCTATGCCTAGTACCGTGTTCACGTTCGTTTTAGGTCGTCCTATACGATTCAAATGTGGTTGCGGATATCTATCAGCGGGCTGTGACTAAAACCGACAATGATCTAAGATCAAGACATCACCTTTTAACAAGCTTAAGTTTAAGTAAGGCACAGCCAAACAAGAATTCGCGATCGTACGACGATCGTACGAGCAAGGACATTGGAACACAAGGACCGTGTGTTCCAATGTCCAATGTCCTTACGAGGTAAAGGTACATAGGCCTAATACACGGTCATTTAATACGGGTTTACGGAAAAACCTGGGCTGTCTACCTTACCAGGCTACCTTACCAGTCTACCTTGCCTGTCTAGGACGTCAGGCTACTGAACTCCCCCCATCCACAGCCTCACGAACAGCAAGACTTCCAAGCAGCTGCGCCCCCTGGCGGAATGCATCAGAATTGCACCCACTACTTTGGCACGTGCGTGTGCACAAACATTTATAGGCCTGTGCAGCATGCAAGGAGTTAAACATAGCCTGACTAATCGCGCTCCTGGCGGCCGTCGACCCGAAGTGGGTGGGGGTCACACAGGCTATGTTGACACAGCAAGAAAACACAAATAAATATACGCTATGTGCTAGTGACAATCATCGTCACTCGGCGTGGTTACCCAAGTGATGTCAATGTGTCAGGAATGGGGTGTTAGTGAAGAGATGTCACACGTTGTGCGATAGCGATTCAGCCGCTTCAGCGATTCTTCATTTGAACGTTATTTTTCATAATTGTTGAAGGGTAAAACGTTTAACATCATGTCTTCTTTTTCACTTTTTGGGTTAATTCTGAAAAGATACTTTTACAGCACAGAGACCCGTCCTAACATGTGGACATCCTTATCTCCTGTGGACGTCGACGTCCTTATCTCCACATGGGATAATCAATTCTATAAGCTACATATTATCGAATTACATGGATAAACACATGCTATGACCGAGAGCCCTGATG